TCAGAGTCACAAGATTGGCCAAAAAATGAGAACTCACGGCTGGGATCCTGGCTGAGATCTAGGATCATGACCATCTTTCTCGTAAGTGCAGGTAGGTTTGGCGTCGGAACTTGGGACGTGAAATTGGGAGACGAGGTTTGGATAATCTGTTCAGGCCACATGCCGCTCATTTTACGACCGATCAGGGATGTCAAGGGTCACGTTGACGGTCCAGATACGTTCGTTTTACCAGGGAAGCATGATGAATACCATCTAGTGAATGACTGCTACATCCCCGGGATAATGAACGGCGAGCTCTCATGCGCAGGAAATTCTGTTTTGCGAACTATCACTTTATGTTGAGCTGAGTTTGTAACTGTTTGGGAGGCGCAGTTGTTTGGATCTTTCACGAGTCAATTTCGTCAAATCTAGTCTTCTGCTGCATAAGGCGAGCGTAACCTTAAGGTCGATATGCTTCTCGAGGTGCCACAGACATCAATACACGTACTGGGATATTTTAGCAGAGGTTCAAGTTCAACTAAGGGATGCCCACGAACCTTGAAGTACTTATTCTGCAAGTCTGTCTCGTCCAGGAGCCCACGCTCATAAGCCTGCTGCTCATTTTCCTCCGACGTCGCGTGTTCCGCCCTCCTAGACCGATTTCGAACCCACAACAGACACCAGAGGCCACACAGGCACGCAATCTGCATGCCAACGCAGAAAATCATCATCGCGACGCCCAAAGGGTACCGAGGTGCCTGCTCCGCCTTGAAGAAGAAGGGACCGACGAAATTACCGAGACAGTACCCGATCAGGAGCATCGCGTTCGTCGTAATCTTCTTGGTGTGGCCCGCGGTGTTGGCCGTGGCGACGGACATGGAGAGCGTCCAGGTTGCCGTGTAGGCGAAGGAGATCCAGAGGCAGGCGAGGCGGCCGTAGGGGTTGGATTGGTCGATGAGCCAGAGGCCGAGGATACCGGCCAGGAAAGGGGCGAGACAGATTAACATAATGGATATGCGAGCGTTTGGGTAATAGGAAGCGAAGAAGCTGTGTTGTTAGTCGTGCTTCAAACATTGGAGACAGAAAGTGCTTACCAGGCCAAGGGACACAGGATAAGCTGCACAGCTCCCGATGGCATCTGAATGAGAGTAGTCTGAAGCGTCGAGAAGCCCATACCCCTGATTACAAGACCTTGGAACTATCGTTTTGTCAGTTTACGGTCTTCGAGGCAAAGTTTTGTGGACTCACTGTCGTCAATCCGCCATTGGGAGTGTTACTCGCAACGGCAAACAAGAAAAGAAGCCAAGTCTTCAAGTCCATCATGGCCTCCCTGAACTGTGGCCACTTGAACTTCTTGTTCTCAACTCCCGTGCCGTTCGCCTTGACGCGACTAATAACCATCGCTTTCTCCTTCTCCGACAAAAACTTCGTCGTCAAAGGCGAGCCAGGAAGAAAGATGAGCATGAGGATCCCCCACGCCACAGTAATGGCGCCCCAAAACAGGAACAGAATCCGCCAGCTCGCAATCGACCCTTGCACATGCCCGATGCCAAACGTTACGATGCCAGCCGTGATATAACCCAGACCCGCAGACCCAATCCAGATACCCATACGAACAGGCTGCTCCTTTCTCGAGTAGTACATCGAGAAGAGCAACATCGTACCAGGGTTAATCGAAGCCTCAAACGCACCCAAAAACGTCCTCGTCGCCGCCAGACCAGCAAAATTGTGCGACGCGGCATGACACATGAGCACGGCGCCCCATAATACCACCGTGGCCGACATGAAGGTGTTGATGGGCAGCTTCTGCAGCAGCACGTTTGTAGGGAACTCCCAGAAGAGGTAGCCTAGGTACAGCAGCGCGCCAGCCCAGGAGAACTCGGAGCCCGTAAGGCCGATATCCTCGCGGATGCCAAAGACGGCGGCGTAGCTTAGTGTCGTACGGTCGATAGACTGCAGGGCGTAGGTGATGCAGAGGAGCGGCATGAGGCGAAAATCGAGGCGTCGAAGGAGCGCGGAACTCTCTTCCGGGTCGATTACTTCGCCCTCGGCTGCATCGAGGAGGTCGAGGGGCTTTGTTGGCTCTGAGGCCATGAGCTCCTCTTTGGGAGTCATTTCCGTCTTCATGATTCGCTGAGTCGGATCTTAGGAGAGAAAGAAGAGAGGGTGTTTCGGCCGCTGCGATGCAGGTCGCCCGACTGCATCTACATTTATGGAACATCTAGCTATATAGGATCATCGGTGACGTGAGTGCCGGATCTACAGACATGTTGTTAGCAATTCGGTATGCCTCCGAGAAGCAGCAGATAAGAGCTGGTGGCACGACTAGGGGGTGTTATTGCTTCCCGCGGAAAAGTCTTATCACGGTTGAAGTCATCCGCGGTCATGACTTACGCAGATACTACCCCGCGCATAATGTCGTAACGACCAGCCGTGATTCCGAACATGGGCTGACTACAATTTTGTACACCATTTGCTGAAGGCATCTGGACAGTCAAACTATCAAGACAGTGCCAGGTGTCAGTCACCAGGATTCGGCTTCAGTGGGATATTTTCGCTCAAAATTGGGGCGACACGATGAACCGTTAACCTTACATGAATTATTCGCATCATCCGTCCAATGTCCTTGCGAAGTAATAGTCATGCAAACTCGATCTAAGAGGATTCTCTCATGAAAATTCATTGGGAAGTTCTCAGTCCTATTTGTCGTCCAGATACAAACCCTCATCTGGAGGCGGAACACCATACCAGTCCAAGCCCAACTTATCCTCAGGATCAGGATCCGGCATCTGGTAGTACCCATCATACCTCCACCAAGTCCGATCTTCCCACACATCCTCAACCGGCAAGACCCCTTCAGCCTTCATTTCGTCTCTAACTTTCTCAACACCACGCCAGACCCTCAAGATATTCTCACCAGCCACCTTGGCAAGCTGCTCCTCGGTGGCACCCCTATCAAGAATAGCTTTGAGAAGTCTTGGGTAGCACTTGACGTCTTCCAAACCAGGGATGACAGACGCGATACCATCAAAGTCGGAACCGAGGCCAACGTGGTCCCAGCCGATGCGCTCGGCGATGTAGAATAAGTGGTCGAGAACCATGTCCATCTTGGCGTCCCTCCTGCGCGTAGTGACGTGCTCCGGGACGAAAGTCACCATCACGATGCCCCCGTTGGCTGGGACCATGTCTAGAATGCGATCCGGGACGTTGCGGGGACAGTCGAACACGCCCTTGACGTTGGAGTGGGAAAACATGATTGGTGCGCGAGTCTGCTCGAGGACCTGCTTGGCGCAGTCTTCTGAGACGTGCGATATGTCTACGATCATTCCTGAGGGTGACTGGTTAGTGGGCTGCTTATTTAATGGAATTATCTTGCTCACCTAATCTGTTCATCTCAATCAATGCCGCACGACCCAGCTTAGAAAGCCCGCCATGGACGGCGCCGACTTTGGATGTTGAGCTATCGGCGAAGGCATTATTGCAGACATGAGTGAGGGTGCACTGGCAGAGTCAGTACAGGATCTCATGGCATCTATAAGCCTGTTCAACTTACATATCTGACTCCCAGACGGTAAAATGCTCTAATGATACCAATACTGTTGCCAGCCATGTGCAATCTGTCAAGCTTATTAGTCTTTCATGAGCCCCTCTCAACACCTCAGATTGAGCACGCACCCTTCAATACCGATGGAGCAAGCTATCCTCCCAGACTCGTAAATCTTCTTCACATCATTTGGTCCATTCACCAACTCAAACGTCTCCGGATACGACTCGACGAGCCGAAGCGTCATATCAATCTGCTCAATGGCGTCGCGCGCCATGTCCGAGTACTCTGCTGTCGAAAAGTTCTCCGCGGACCTGAGACAGGGGACACAGATGGACCAGAACTGACCACCGACGGCACCTTCATTTCGTGTAAGCCATTGGGTTGAACTGAGACAGGATCTATTATAACTCACCCTCCCTCAGTCGGGGGATATCCGTCATTCCCCTCTCGAATCCATTTGCGAAATCGAATTTCGGATTGTTGTGAATCTTGCCATGAAAGCATGCCCGCGGTTGCTGTGGCAGGTCATTGTGGCCGTCGATGAGCGGCGTCCTGAGAAGAACCCGCTTGACTCGCTCGTCGATGTCAAGCTTCTGATAGGGATGGTATGGCGATGCCATTGTGTGAGTGCCGGTATTTTTGTTCGAATGGGTATTGTTGCCAACCTCAACATGCGATTGATCTGATGAGAGGATTCGATAAGGTACTAGTAGTTAAGAAACACGTTATGCGCGGAGTTCATCAAGCTGCTGCTAATTTTCGTTTGGTCTGAGTGTCTAAGTTCCCTCGGTCAACTATTGCCAGAGACTAAGAGTGCGGGTTTCCCGCGCAAAAAGAAGGGACCCATAGATATGACCCCGACGTTTGATTTGGCCGCCATACCATCCCATCGCGGGGAGTCATGTTTGAATGTTCGGATAATAAGATCCAGGGTACTCCCTGACCCCGCTGGTTCGAGTCTAGATAAGAACTAAAATCGTCCTATCTTGTCTTTGTATGGATGCATCAACCAATCTCAATGATGCTTGCTTCCCAGGTTCCAAAGACTCGGGTCCTCGAATGATGGTATCTACACAGGAGCTCTCGAGTTTCGACAGACAAGTGCAAAAAGTTGGCCCGACTGAGAAGAACTTCACAATAGTGACGGAGTTGTCTCGAAGAATTCTTTCCCGCAGACGTTCCTTTGCTGTTTAGGGTCGATGCAATTTGAGAATTGGGGAGTATCATGTTCGGGGAGTGTTGATAATCATTAAGTGCTTAAAAGTTCGGAGTCCATGATGAACAACATTCTTTCCACCGTCCTTGCCGCTCTCAAATAGAACAGCGTTTTGTTATAATCGCTAACGATATGGGTATCCTTCAAACACAATTAAATGATCAGAAATAACGCCAGAAACCAACCTCATTGAGAACATTCGAAAGAAACTCAAGATTCCGACCCTGAGAGACAGAAGAAGGACCGCTCGCTCATACACTAACAGCCAGTCATGTTTACATCTTCGTCATACTGTCCAGGCGCGCCACGTTTTCCGCCCGCTGGCTTTTTGGGAGCCGGTCGGCGTTTCAAGACCTTCATCTCGGGATCTACGACAAGCACCTTGAGACGCTGGTCAATTGCGTCCACTCCGGCGGCGATTCTTAGATCTACATATTCCAATGTCAATATTCCTTCATATTTCGGGAAAATGAATTCTCAGGAGAGGGAATAACATACGGAAAGTATCGCGAAGTTCCAAAATGCCTTCAAAAGCTTTCGTGAGACCAACCTGCTGGGTTTCACCAGCAGGCCAATGACCCTTGACGCTGTCGAGTGACAGCAGCTTCAGCGCCGCGGAAGTCCGGAAGAGACTCGCATAGAACACCGCCACAGCATTCAAGAGAGGCTCTGCGTTGCCGTGCCACGGCTTGACGTTTCTGAGAAGGTCTCGGTAGATGAACATGAGCTGCCATAGCGCAGCCCACACCGCAGGCCTCTCGTGATTGTCCATCTTGGACTTGGTGGGCTTGAGATACCTATCGAGGTCGGCGAGGATATCTCGCTCAGATGACTCGATGACGGACCTTGCGATGCTACGGATTTCTGCCTGGGCGGGAAGAGAAAGTTCGGAAATTCTGACCTCGCCTGAGCGAATGAAGTAGAGAGTTGGCGAGCGATAGATTTTGCACATGGCATTCAGCGTGTGCACTTTTTGGAGCAGTTGGGTCTGAGATTGGTGAGACATTGTACTAGGGGTATGAGACCTTGGGGACCTGGACTTACCTTTGGACGCTGCGCCGTACTATAAGGATTGTAGTGACCTGGCATTGCGTACTGCTTGATGAAATACTCGATACGCCCCTCAAAGGTCCTGTGATCTTCAGAGGAAACGTATTGTGAAGCCCAGTCTACCAGGCCGTCCTGTGACAGGACCCTGTTCTCTGGGTTTCTGGTCAGAGTGCAGCCGCCATGGCTGGAGGCAGCACATGTGTAGTTCCTGAGAGTTGCGTCGAGACCTGGCCTGGAGCAGTCTGGCTCAAGAAGGATTCGCCCTTCAAAGACAGGCCCTTGGAATTGCGGACCAGCCGTTCTTAGGATTTCATTGACAACGCGGTCAAGTCTTAAGCCAGCGACTACACATGATTAGCACCCCGCTCCGACATCTGAGGAAGGAGAAAAACTCACAACGCCTAGGAGAAAGCTCCTTGGCTACACTCGTCAAGTCCCCACGAATGCAAGAGAACTCTGTGGCTTGTTGCCCAAGCTTCTTGCAGGTTTCGCAAGGGTCAATAGCCGAGCATGTAACCTTTTGTACTCTGCATCTAATGCATGCGCCAGCGTCTCTGACTCTATTCACTTTGTGAACATCTTTGACGACCCGGTGTCTGCTGTTGGGTGATCTCTTGATGGGCCGGGCCGGAATGTCCAGAGTAGGCGGTCTTGGGAGGCTCTGCTTGGCATCGTATACGGGGATAGTCAAACGATCATCCAAGCCGCGGAGGGCGTGGAGATCAATGGAGGATCCTGTGTCTCGAAACCGACCTCCGGGAGAAGAAGGGGAGGTAGAGAGGATTGACGTGAACTCATCAGGGGCGACAAGTGGCTCTGGTGTGTGGATGGAAGAGGTGTCCGTGAGGGAACGGGAACCTGCTGAGGGTGGGTAGGCAAGCAACATCTCGATGGGGGGGTCGTCTTCCATGGAGCGTCCGGATGAGCTGGATGTTTCCTCGAAGCCCTTAGCCCACATGGCATCGTCGAAGTAGGTGTTGAGCGGCTCTTGTTCATTTCCTGAGGGCCTCTGACCGCTCCGGCCCACCCTGGGCGTGTTTGGAAAAGGAGTAGCGGTGTTGCCCAACCCCCTTGTGCCATAGAAGGAGTCCAAGAAGATTCGGACATCAGTCCCAACCTCGTTTTCGGTCATGTTAGCCGATTTGAATGGATGAGGCATGCAGAAAGCGCAATTTGAGGACCCAGTATTTGTGTCAAGGGTTAGAATTGTGAGTTGTAATGTGATCCTAGGGTGGGTGTAGTTTGCAAAAATCGTGAGGGGTTTGACCACTCAATCTCATTCAGTTTATAGATAGTATCCCGCTGAGGCTCAAGGAACCGGCGCATCACGACGTGGGCGTCTTAGAATCTCGGTGATAACTGTACACGCCATTGGCCAATCCATCCTGTGCCCCATTAAAAACATACCAATCAGACGCTCACACTTCACCGAGAATTGCAAGTGTTCATGCGAAGCATACATTAGTATGCGAAGACCTGTCGATGGGCTCACTGGGCGGCGCCGTTACATAAGCAAGAAACTGCAGCTGAAGGTGTCCATCGAGCGCCAGACTGCGAAATTGCTTGTCTGGAGCATGGGTGAGATCCATGGTCATCCTCAAGGATGGCCATGGCCTCGACACCTTGTTGCTTTTGCTTCGACAAGCTGCCGTGGAACCCAGACAGAGAGTCATTTCAAGGCCCGAGATACGAATGCGTGTGGGACAAGGGAACTTGAGGTGTATTTATATTGCTTCGACAGGCGACGTCTGAGAGACACGGATGTCTTTGGCCGGAAGCATGCCAGGCCCGTGTCACCTTCCGCAGCACCATCTACGCACTTCCGGGTCTGTAGAGAGCTTCGCGATACCACAAGGCCTGTTGCCCTGAACCGCCAAGGCTGCAAACAGTCGGATACTTCTCTTTCATAGTAGCGTTCTTGTCCTCTGGCAGTTGAAAGCTGCTCCATGCACCTCATTGATGGTGATGATGATGATGATGATGATAAATGATAACGACTAATTATGAGGGCATTGTTTGTTAAGACTCACAGCAGGGGTTGAAGAGTGTTGATGAGAACAGCGACGAAACAACTTCCGAAGGTTTAGCATAAGTCTTGCACATATTATTAAGCAAGCCGAGATACGGAATGAAGATGCAGCGCCGGGAAGGGCCCTCGGAAGAAACACCTTTGCTGGCATTCCGCCCCCGGACGACCGATAATTAGCGGGGCAGCCGGCCGGGAATGGCGGGGTTGAGAACTTGAAGGACGATGCCAACGTCCAGCAGCTTGGGCGCGCTGGGCAGTTTAAAGTGCGCCGAGGTGGGACGGTCCCTGCAAAAAGAGGACGTGCCCGCACTTCCCTGCATACAATGGCCCCACTCAGTCAAACCCATCAAACGTCACTTTCCCAACGCTTCTCGGAGGGTCGTGCCATGTCTTTAACGGCAATTTGCATCTGCAGCTCTGTCGCAATACTTCTCCCTCCTCCAACAATGGGAACTCCTTGAAAGTCTCACTTGCAAAAAAATGGCGCCTAGTCTGCTCTCTTATGTCCCAATCGTCAACCTCTTCGTCTCTGACGGCGAGAAGGCGCAAACCATCAACATCCCCCCTGTCGAAGTTCACGATGTCGAGACCGACCATGACCGGCGAGCAAGATGCCTCAAGCACCTGCTGAGGGCCAACCACGTCAACCATTCCATAATCTACCACAACCTCCAGTTCGATAACCACACGGCACACGTTCTTTCGTCTGCGTATCTGCTGGGCGCGAATGACCGCCAGCTCCAAAATATCTACGAGGCCGAAGCGAAGGAGCTCGAGCCATGGAAAGAGTCTCCCGCCGAGGTCACCGACGATGACTGGAGAGATCTCCTCGGCGACAAAACATACCAGAGGGCCTACGTCGACTTCTTCGAGGACTCTTTGGCGAATAACTCCTACGAGTGGAAAAAGGTCGTCGACGAATTCATGTTCAGTGGCGACGAGCCTCTGGTCCACGGGCTTATTGGTGGTCGTATGTATTGCCTGGAGGAATGACGGTGTACATCTGCTGACCCCTCATGTAGTTGGCCACCCCCTCATCCACCTCGGATACGCTTACGAGATGAACTCCAAGGAGATCGCGATCGAGGCACTAGCATTGGCTGCCACACAATATAATTTCTTCCACCGATACCTCGACGACAAGAAATACACGAAGCCGTCGCCGTTCAGCTCAAAGTCGACATTCGAGCTGATTCACAATGTCGCAGATGACAAGCGACTCGATGGACTGTTCAAGGAACCGTCCTTGGGCAACCTCGACGTCTTGTTTGCAAAGCATGAAGACATTGTCCTGGAATACTGGAATGCCTGGACCATCACAGACCCGGTGAAGCAGTTCGAAGAGTCACAAGAGCTTGCGGTTGCGCTCCTCGTCGCAACCATTCCCCGCGGCACCCACGGATACAACTTCTTCACAGTACATCTCCTCACGACGAGCCACGCCGTCCGAATTCTTCTCCCGGTGATTCCGGCCAAGTTTCACATTAGCTTAGTAAGGGAGTGGTGGTTGCTCGTAATCGGTGTCTATATTTCCCTATTGCGGCCAAAGATCGACCCCGATAATGTAGAGACGGACTTGAAGCAACGTCATTGGGGGCATGTTGAGCACGAGGCCTTGAACTCCCAATGGGCCACCGACGCTCACTATGTTAAAGGTCAGTACCGTACGCGCGCTCCAGCCCAAGCATGTGAAAACTGACAAACTTCTCAGCGATTCGCGCCATGAAAGAGGCTTCTAGGACCTGGGGTGACGTACATGAGCGGTACCTGGCGTCTGCTCTGACGTTTGTCGACAACTTCCGTGGGTGGACTTTTGGAGCTGCTGACTTGAAGTCTGGAGGTTACTATTGAAGCAAACTTGCACTGGGGAACGAATTTGTCCTGATGCGTGGCACATAACTTGGAGCATGCTGGATTCACCTAGCTTGAACTGTCTCTAATCTTTACTGTACAACATATGGGTACATAGCATGGGAATGACTTTGAACGTGTAATGAGAATGTCAATCTGTCAAAAATTGTATCTCAAACTTGTCAAGTGTCTATCTGTTTTGCCTAGTCGACGAATGAAGTCATGTGGGAACATCGTTGTTAGTGGACGAGGGATTCGCTCCATTCAATGAGACATCTATTTAGCATTGGGTCCCAAGGCGTTCGTCCTTCACTTGAGTTATATTTTTTCCAAATTTATCTAGTTTCTCTTTTCGTTTGGGGGAGAGTGAGTAATCAGGGAGCTTGAGCGGCGAATGAACCACATTCTAGCCATGCTGAATTCGCCGAAATGTGTTTGCCTTTTGCTTTTCGGTACCGTGAGCCCAGGTCAGATTATAAGAAATAGGTGAGCATTGAGGCGGAAGTCTGTCACTAAAATGGGCAGGTACGGCTCCCGCCAGGTACCGACAAGACCGGATGATTTAGCGACAAGTTAGTGTCCACTCGCTGTAAAGTGCATCAAAGTGGGGGCCAGATCCAGATTGGCGAGGCTCCAAAATGACGAGGATGCAGCTGTGCTTTAGCCGCCCGCCAAAAGGTAGGCAGAATGGTAGGAGGTAGGTGCATGCTTGGTCATTCTTTCTTGCAGATTATTCACAGCCTGCCCGCGCCTTCAACATCCCCGAATTGCGAAGGGAAAAAGGTCTGACGCGTCGGTCGCCCTGCAACCTGCAGAGAACATGCGCTCATGTTGAGCTTCTTTACCACTATCCTGCCCAATGGCTCCGCCAGCCAAACGAAGAAGGCGCAATGTCGTCGAGTCGGACGATGAGGAAGACCTACCCAAGACGAATACACTCACGAATTTCCTGCTATCATCACCCTCCAAATCAGATACGCGAGGCACGACTGCATCTCCCAGTCCAACGAAACCGCAGAGCCGTGTACCCGATAAGCGTCGAACCACCGTGGCGCCAGCTATACTCCAATCACGCAATGGTCCAGCGAACAAAATCACAAAGAGTCCGAGTACCAGCCCCGAGAAGGCCAAGGGCAAAACGACGAAGCGCGTCAAGGTGGAAGAGAAGGGTCGCAATGGAAATCTCATGACCCTGTTCTCCAAGCAGGCATCAAAACCTAGCGCAAAGCCAGTTGCTTCTTCCAGGGCGGTGCCTCTCGACGACATAATAAGCGACCCGATATCCGAGGACGATGATGTTGCAGAGCAGAAAGCTAGCACCTCTAGTATTGTCGGGCAAAACGCACGGAAACGGTTTCGAGATAACACCCCAGTCTCGTCACCAGCAGGTCTAGCATCAAGCCAGAGGTTCCTCAAGCCTCCGCGCCCGAATAAACCGGCTGCTCTCGACGATGACTTGCGACCTTGGTCAGAACGCTTCGGGCCCATAAACTTGGACGAGCTGGCGGTACACAAGAGGAAGGTCTCGGATGTGAGGAAGTGGTTGGAAGATGTTCTCGCCGGACGGATGCGCCAGCGCCTTCTGATTCTCAAGGGTGCTGCGGGCTCGGGAAAGACTACCACCATGCGACTTCTGGCTAGGGACATGGGCTACGAGCTCCTGGAATGGAGGAATCCAACCGGTGCTCTCGGCGCACATCTCGGGTACACATCAGCTTCTGCTCAATTTCAGGAATTCCTAGGCAGAGGCGGGAAGTTTGGCCAACTGGATACCGATCTGACGACGGAGGCACCTCGTACCGCAAGCGCGAAACCCGACTTATCGGGGAAGATCATCCTTGTGGAAGAGTTTCCAAACACTTTTTCAAGGGCTTCGACGGCCCTGACCTCCTTCAGAAGCACACTCTTGGAGTACTTGGCGTCGAACATGCCGTCGCTCTCAAACTACGGGCGGCGACCTGCAAATGAGCCCATCACGCCTGTCGTCTTGGTCATCTCAGAGACACTACTGACCACAACGTCAGCCTCGGCAGATAGCTTCACTGCCCACCGACTACTTGGTCCCGAGATCTTGCGGCATCCTGGGACACGGGTCATCGAGTTCAATGCCGTTGCGCCTACCCTGCTCGCGAAAGCGCTGGAGTTGACCGTGATGAAAGAAGCACGCAAATCCGGGAGGAAGCGCACGCCAGGACCTCAAGTGCTGAAACGCCTGGGTGAGATAGGGGATATCCGCAGCGCAATCTCTTCTC